TGTCAATTACCCATGTTGAAATAGCATATGTCAATTCTATCACACAACCCGGAATGTTGATTTACCTTCCCAAAAAGACGTGACAAGTACTGCAAATTTAAAATAAATTAACTGGTAGCAATTTGATTTACATTTATTACAATAAAGATTTTATTTATTAGAAAATTATCAAATTGTTAGCGTGATCAGAACTAGAACTAGAGGGATCGTCATCCTTATTTATAAAAGTCACGTCTTAAAATGTATTATTCATTCTATTTTCTATATATTTGCCAATATAAAAATCTTACAAATTGTCATTTTCCACTATTACATTTATTTTGCCGATTTTCATCTTTTTGGGATACAATTTTTCAATAAAAAAGTAAATAAGGTTATCCTTAATTGTTTTACAAATAAACAAACATTGACAAATGATCTTAGTATTCACCTGCCAAAAGAAACTCCATAAATAGCACTATTGAGGACAACAAATAACTTGTCAATAGGGGCGGACCATTACGGAATTGGCCCAAATAAGTCATAATTATGCCAATTAAGAAAATAGAGTTTACCCCCAAAGACCAGTGGGCATGATGTGAATTTTTTCCATTTCAATAACTACACTAAAAAAGTAAACTAATTCCAAAATTACTATTTATATCTTTTATTACAAAATATTATTTACACTCTTTTAACACTTTTGATTATACTTTTTTAACAAGTGTTACAAAAATATAACAAGTGTATTACATTGTTACATTTTTTCGTAACACGTGTAACAAACATGTTATACGTTTGTAACAAGTATAATATAATTTTTTATATTTTCGTAACACTTATAACACGCTATATTACACATGTAACACCTATAGTATATTGTGTTGTGATTGGATTACACGTGTAACAAATTGTATTATGCCCACCTTAGCCAATGCGACAACGACCTCCATCATAATGACCCAACCCAAACCCAGCTCTCTTCCTCCACCACCAAGGCCTCTACATATTTCCTCTACCACAACCAGTGGCGGATCCAGGATTCTTGGTCAGCTATAGCGGTTGTCGACCATCAACCGTCGTTTTCTACTTTTCACTCAACCAAAGAAAAGGGGCACTGGATGCAATTTTTGGGTGCTTCTACGTAATACTCAAAAGACAAATTTAGCCATCTTTTTTCCACGAACAAAGTATGAAGTGCAACTAAGCTAAGTGCATTTTGGTTTATGAAAAGAATATACCAAGAAACCACAAGTAAAATCCAAATCGTTTTTCACAATTCCAAACAGCTCCAAAAGCACCAAGCTTAAGAAGATGTCATCAGATAAAAATGGAATCTTCAGACAAACATAAGAGCCCGTTCAATCACATAATTTAGCATTGCCTATTAGTCTATCACCATAATTTCAAAAGAAATTAGCAATTGCACGAGAAAAACAAAAGACTCAAAATTTAGCCTAAGAATTAATTTCACAAACGGTCACTGAAGTTACACGAAAATAACAAAATGGACACTAAAGTGTAAAACTTGCGGAAATGGTCACTGAATTTTCACGCGGTTTAAAAAATGGTCACTGAAGTTTCATGCGGTATCAAAAATGGTCACTGAACTTAGTTTTAGGACTTTTATGTCTTAATTCAAACATAAAGTACCAAAACTCGCGGAAAAAGAAGTTGGAGGACCTCAAGTGCAAAATTCAACTTAAAATCTCCCCAACCCCAAACCCAGACCACAACTTTTCACGCCCCATTCCACCACATTCTGGCCACCAAAACCACCAAACCAACACACCATCTTGAAACCCTTACTTTTCTCTATGCAACCCACCCAAAAA